ATACATATTGTAAAGTCTAAATATTTTGTAAGGCAAAAGTATTAAAATGATATATCATATATTTTTCTGCCCTTGAGAGATGATTATCTCCTCCTGTCAGCAGGACACCAGAGGAGCAATATTAAACGGTAAAACTCCCATTAAGGTTATTTTATGCTTCAGAGCATGTTTTACAATAATGACATCTTAATTAGCTTTAATATTATGGGTCATTTGCTTACATGCCAAATACTGAGCAGAAATGACAAAAAAAGGTTTAGCATTTATACCCAGCAGCATTGCTTTATCATTCAGAAAGAAAGCCTGAACTCATTTTAAATAAGACATATGAATGTTTCAGTCATCTGAAAAACAATACTGACATGCAAATCCATGTAAACCGGAATGTAAAGCATCAGCTTGAGCTTATTCAGAAGCAATAATCATTGCTGCTGCATTTCACACAGATTATTCCTACAGTCCAGATATAACATTTAACCCCAAACACATGATGTAATCGACATAATATAAAAAAAGGAACGCAGCCCTGATGTCACTGCATGCCTCTGCAGCGCAGCAATAAGACTCCTAATATTCAGAGAATGCACTTTTTTTCATTGAGAGATGATGAAGCTGAAATGCACAGCCCTTAAGATACTAGCATGGTTTACTTGACCATCTGATCGTGACTGATTTGATCAAATACGACAAAAGCATGGCTTGATTTGCACTTAAAATAAGGTTAAGACATGCATGGTAAATACAAAAGGAAAACTGAATAAATTTCCATTAAAAAGTAAGTAGTCCTTTACTGCACGAGTATTTAATCTCTTGCCTCTTACCCCATAGAGCTAATGGATTCACTCTTTGTAGTTGTCATTCAGACCTGTCTGACTCTTGGAGAGCGAGTCCACATTTGCATTTAGTAGGAAGAAATGAATCTGCACTCGCTGTAGACTGTTTGGATAGTGTTTTACAGCCTTGAGAATCAAAATGCTCTGTCTTGACAGCAAAACAGGACACTACATCATTAGACACACTAGTTTAGAATTAAGTGACAAATATGTCATAGGGGGAAAAACAAGCTTTGTATAGTAAGATTTGTTTTAGATTACAAATCCCAAAATCCAAAGAATAAATGAGCAGAAATAATGTTTTGTAAAATCTAAAAATATAAATGAAACTAATTTTTAGTACAAATTTATTATGATATTAAAATAAAATAATTACCATTTTAATTAAATTTGAACTGAAGAAAAATGACCAGATGACTGAAACGGTCTTTGGGGAATATGAAAACAGTCATTCGGCTCTTTGTTTTTAACAGTGATGATTTAAAATGAAGCATTTTCACAATTAAAGCATTATGATTTAAACATTAAATTGTAAATGTACAAAAATAAAACAATGATAGAATCTTAAATGTATTGTAGTCATGCAAATTATAATTTCCTTTTTTTTTTTTTTCTTTTGAATTTGGTGTGAAATATGAACCGAACCCGTACTATGGACTGAGATTGCAAACATGCAGCATACGAGTTTCTGTGTTTGAGTAGAAACTTGACATGTACGGCACAGTATTTTGAGGAACAATATAAAGACTCAATTATTTTTAGCGTTCTTAACACTGATCTTGAAGCTCAGATAGAGCTGTGCTGTTCTATCACACTGCAGGGTTTCTAAGAACAAATATGTCTGTCTGCACACAGAGGTCTTTTGAGGCTGGTTCATTAAGAACAGCTCTAGTTAGTACCTTATTTCAGATGTATTCAGCAGACAGCATGGACATTATCCACTGACTCAAACATCATCACCTAAACCATTTCTTCACATGGAAATTGCTACTACTGTAAAGCACAAAGACAAAATTTGTAAAAAAAAAAATGCTGTAAAATATTATTTATAATAATAAAATATTTTATATACGTACTTGTCATGTACTGTCTTTACTTTGTCTTTTTTTGAACTGATCAAAGGTACTGTACTTATGAAAGCACATTAGCTTAGAAAATAAAATGAACACTGACCCAATGCAAAATAAATTATTCACTTATTCAAAAAACATATAAATATTTTCTTTAATAACAATTTAGAATTAGCTATCTGATAATATGTACCAATAGCCAAATTTTTAATCACTGTTTTTGCAAAGCTGCTTTTAGATTTAGTGCCATTATGGTATGGAATAAGAGATGGGTAGATTATTTACAAATTGCAGTCGGTTGCTAACTAAAAAGTACACAATAGAAATTGCAGTCACTTTAGATCATGTTTGTGAACTTCATGTTTGCTGATTCACATTTACGTTACTTTTAACTTGTTTATTAAATAAACTTGAATAAAGCAAAAAATAAATTATAAGTCTCTGTGCAAATGTTAAAACTAGCAAAGATCTTTTTATTTATCATGTGAAGTAACTGTTATATAATTATAAGCATTTTAAGATTCATTATATTCTAACTGGAAAGACTAATTTTTTGGTACCCAGACTGCATATAACCATTGAATACATATAATCTAACTACAAGAGAAAAAGTGAAATCCTACTCAACATTTTATTTGATTAAAGGAATAGTTTAGCCAAAACTTAAAATATTTTTATTATTTACTCACTCTCTACTTCTATTAAAGCTATTTGAGTTTTTTTTTTTTGTTAAAAACAAAAGAAAATATTTTGAACAACGTTGGAAACCAGCAGTGATTGATTTTCGTTGCATTTTCCAGTGCTACAGATGTAAATGGCTACAGTGCTCCAGGTTTCTTCTAAATGTCTTTTTTGAAATAGTAAAAAGAGTCAACAGAGACTACATTTTGACTTTTCACTTAAGTATTCTATTTTACTACAAAAATACACCGTACAGTTGATTATTTACAAATTGCAGTCTGTTACTAACTAAAAATTACACAATGAAAATTTCTTTCATTTTAGATCATGGTTGTGGACCGCATGTTTGCTGATTTACATTTAGATTTCTTTTTTCTTTACCTGTTTATTGAATAAAACTGAATAAAGCAAAAAAAAAAAAACTACTCTTAAACTACTCTTAAACCCTTAAAACTGAAACATTTTGTTGGTTGGTTTGTTTAGTTACATGTCAATGTTGTCATTAATCAAAATGAGAAAACCTTTTACATTTAAATGTACTGTTAAATGATTAAAATATAAACTACTGTATAAGTCTGTGGAAATGTTTGAATTTAAAACTTCCAAAGAATTCCTACTATTGTGTGAGCAATTTATCACATGAAGTAACTGTAATTTATATGTATAATTATAAACATTTTAAGATTTAAAAAGATAATTGAAATTACTACATTTTTGTGTCCAGATTGCAAATAATCAGTTAATACCATTGAATACATATAATATAATATATAACAAATATAACTACAATTCATTAAATGAAATCCTCCTCAACATTAGATTTTATTAAAAGAATAGTTCACCCAAAAAATGTAAATATTTCATTATTTAATCACCCTCTACTTCTATTAAAGCTATTTGACTTTCTCTTTCTTTTAAAAAACAAAATAATATATTTTGAAGAATGTTGGAAACCAGGAGTCACTGACATTCATAGTACTTTAACCTGCTACAGATGTAAATAGTTCCAGGGCTCTAGCATTGTACTAAATATTCTATTTTTAAATAGTTAAAAGAGTAACTAGTGAGTACATTTCCATTTATGAGTGAACTTTTTATTTAAGTATTCCGTTTTAATACAAAAATACAACATGGTCTAGAACCAATGGTTTGTTATGACATTTAAAGCTTACTTAAAGCAGACAAAAAGACTGATCTGTTTTTCAAACTGTGTAATCATGAATACTTTAAAGAGTGATGGATGTTTCATAACTTATTAATCAAGATTTATTAATTGCAGAGTGACCTGTGCTGAGACACACACACAATAAGGATCTGTGTAACGTGCGGTGTCAGTAAGTAATTTCAGTATGACTCACAGAAAGGCCAGGTCACGCATGACCTCTGCCATACCATCTATACTAAAATAACATCACATCACAGAGCAGAGAAAGAGACAGGGAGCAGCAAATCTCATTTCAAAAACACTGAGCACATCTCTAATCACTTTTATATTCTTAATCATTTGATTCAAAGTGATAGTTCACCCAACAAAATAAAACTCGGCCATGATTTACTCACCATTCACTAGCATCTATATGAGATTCATTCATAAACACAAATGGCTGCCGGCTCCCATTGACTTACTTAGTAGAGAAAAAAAAAAAAAAACTATTAGTCAAAGGGTGCCAGCAACCAGCAGAAACCAGCAGGTTTAAAAGCAAATTATGGAGAGTAAATGATGTGATAACTATTAATAGTTGGTTCTTTAAGAGATTCATATTAATATTCAAGTGTTTTCTTTTTTTGTCTTTTTTTAAGTGTCTACTTCAGTATAATATATTAGTTTCTTAACACGGATGGCAGTTTTTAAATCATATGATAAATAAATACAAACAAAGCAATGTCCGAAATATGCAAATAAATCGCCCTAAAACTGAAAGTGAAAGATTTTTGTGAAGGGGGATTATGAGTGATTAATCTGATGCAGATAAAGCTATGCTACAGAGATAAAGCTCTTTAAAGTGTAATCCCCTTCTAACACTGAAACACACACACACACACACACACACACACACGTCTTACCTCTCTAATAAAAGAGAAACTCCAGGCTAGCAGATCACTCATCTAATTAACCACACAGAGCTGCTTGAGCTGTTAGTAAGAATACAGAAGTAGATACACAAGAAGAAAGAGAGAATAAAAACACGAGACGGGACAGAGAGATCAGGACAAGGAAGATCAGAGGGACAAAATTGAACGAGAGGGTGGAAATATACACAGATGGACGGACAGAGAGAGAGCAATGCTATTCTGGCTGCTGATCAGAGACCTGTGTCACCATCAGTGTTCAGACAAACTCATAAATAAAGCAGCGACAGGATTAACCATCAAACACACACCTGGGGCACTCGTTTCCAAATACACACAGTTCAAATGCAGCAGAGTATACTGTATTATACACAAACACACAATATGACTGGAGTGGAATGCTGGTTGCAATTGGTTGAAATAATACCATAATGTTTTCTGTGAGGAATGTTTTGCCTTGCCATGATTCCACTGAGTGGTGTTGTCATCTCATGTCCCATTCAATACCAACTTGAGCGAAGCAATAGAGAAAAGCAACCATTGGAACGGCCACAGAAGACCAGTCTGTTGAAGAAATGGAGGAGAAGTGTTGGTGAATGCTACATTATAAAGGCAAGCAAAAACAGTGTGGTTTGAAAAATAAGCAAGACAAAAAATGTTACCATCTTTGCCTTGATTACATGTCTTTGAATTTATTTTGGAAATATTTAGTCAATATTAAATGTACGACCATCATTCAAAACAAATGTAAATATACATAAAAAAGGATGTAAACAAAATGTTGTTATTTTTTGGATGATCTTCAACAATCTTTCAACTGACCAAAATTTCATTAGGGTTTACTGACTGATTGAGTTGTTGACATGAAGGCTCGAGTCAGACTGAGCCACCAATCCAATTTCTAACTGATTATTTGGTTGCATTTAAAGATAGCTAACATAAATTTGCATATGAGTCAGAACTTTTTAAGGTTATTTTGTCATTCGTCATCATTATCTGAAAGCCTTTTCCCGCACACTACATGACAGTTATGACAGTTGAAATAAATAAACTATGACAGTTGAGTGCATGAAGAGTCCAGCAATCTGCAATTTTTTCAGTTCAATAAATGCATCATCCAAATATTTAAAGTGAATCTTTTCTTTTTGGAATGTTTATGTGTTAGTGACTCTCTAGGGTATTAGTTCATCCAAAAACGAAAATGTTGATATAAATTACTCGCACTCATGTTGTTCTAATCCCTTGAGACATTTTTTCATCTTCAGAGCAAACATTTTTATATTTTAGAGGAAATCTAAAAGCTCTCCCCAACAAACACATTTACGCTGTAGCGATGTCTGTACAACGTTTAATTTTTTCAAAGGCACTTACGTGCTCACTACATTGTCACAACGTAGAAATGTAAGACGTGGGAAAGCTATAGCAATGTTGTCGTGTGACATTCAGCAACCGTGAGATGACGTTCTTACTACATGTAATAATGCTTTTTTTACTGACAGTTTATCAATACCGCCTAGAATACAGGATAAGAAGTAACAATCTTCCAGTATTGCTTAATAATAAATATTGTTTATTATTTTTTTCCTTTTTAATTTAAAATAACAACTGCTTTGAAGTGTAAAAATGCAACACAAATAAATATAATCAAACTTCTTATTATAGATTTAGCAACATTTAATACATACAGTGCACATCTAATTGTCAGCAAACAGTATAAAAATAAAGTTTAGATTATATTAAGTAATTAACTATATATAATTAAACTCAAAGGGTAGGCTATTAAAATGTAAATTGAGAATGTAAACAAACAAGTGAAGTAAACAAGATAGCATTAAAATATAAATAAACAAATTAATTAATTAAAATGCAGACACTACATTAAAACTCTGATCTGGAGATTACAGTAGACTGGGGAGCGCAGCCGAAGACCAGGAATAGTTGTTGGTACGGAGAAAGCAATCAGAGAAAAAAAAATGCAACAGAGAATCCAGTTCAGAGATGGATCCACAGCAGCCACAAGTCAATATAGGCAGTGAACAAGAGGACAGATCAGAGCTTGACACAACCGGACTACACAAACGACTTCAAGATGACAATCAAGATGAAATAAAGCAATACTAACGTCTCCCTGGTCGTTGTTAAAAGCACCGCCTAATGGTCTGTTGAAATTTATACGGATTCATTGATGACGAATAAATGTTGTACAGTGGTGTGTTTGTTGCGTCTCATCATCCATATACACTAATAATCCCAGGGCATTCAAACAAATCCAAATATAGTTTTATACTTATATAGTATAAGTTCCAATAACACATTTGTGTACCAAACAACTGTAAAAATGTGGATGTTCCGATGAACATTTGCTATCTATAGAGGAAGGTTAGAGAGCTCTCGGATTTCATCTAAAATATCGTAATTTGTGTCACAAACAAGGTCTCAGAATGTCGTTTTGAACGACATTAGGTTGAGTAATTAAAAAAAGAGAATTTTCATTTTTTGAATCAACCAACCCTTTAATTACAAACTGGTGCCCCACAACTTTAACATTTTCACACACAAAGTACATAACTATCTGACATTTTATGCATGTATTGGCACTTATTAGCAGTGATGGGAATAACGGAGTTATAAATTAACAGCGTTACTAATGGCAATACTTTTTTCAGTAACGATTAATCAAATGAATGACTGTTTCGCCTGATACAAAAACTGTAAATATAAACACTACTTTTCCAATGTTGAGGTAAAAGTAAAGAACGTTTATGTATTGTGCAACTTATGCCCAGAAAATAAAAGAGTCTCTCTGTGTCGGTGACAAGTAATTTTAATACAATGAAGCACCTCACATTGTTACACGCCACCACAAAATTAGTGGCTAATAACATACTTGATAACGTGAGCTATGCTACCAAAAAAGACGAAGCCACAAAGCAAGTAAAACTTGATTTTTCTCCACCGCAAACACTTATTAGTCAGACAGAAATAAAATAATATTTAGATATATAGTTGAGGACATGCTGCCTTTTTATACTTATTTTATAGTCATTTGACGAATTAGATTTTTCTTTAAAGCAACGCAATTTACAAGTTCACACTCACAGATATTTGACTGAATAGAATGTGCGTATTTGGCGTGCTGTCCAGGGAGAGGGCTTTGAGCTCGGGAAGACACCATAACTCGTGTTATTCCTCTTATGAGGATAAAGAGAGATAGGGTCAGAGTGCAATGTCTAGCCCGGCTCCAGAACGCTCCCCCCTCAGATTTAAATAGGTAGGTGGAGGTACGCAGAAGTCAAGAGAAAACGGAGGTTTGATGTGTTTGACTACTTATAGGGGTTTGCTCTTGAGCTGATTGGATAATAGAATGATTGTGTGTGTGATGAATTAGCCTCGTCAAAGACTGATTGTGTTCCTCTCGAAATTTGTTTATAAAACATCACTAGTAACTTGCCCTGTTGATTAGTTACATTTAGTGTTACTGTCTTAGTCCTATCACTTTAAAACAACAAACACTGTAAATCTCTCTATATTTAGGCTAAAACACTGACTTTAGAGTTTATTTATTTATTTAGGCCTACTTATTTGTATGTACGTTTATACTTTCATTTTAATTGTCTCTTATTTCTTTAATTTTACTTTTCAAAATGAATCCTCGTTGCACTTAACAAGATTACAATGATAAAAAAGCTTGTTAACAAGTTTTTAAGGGTTAATAAAGGAATTATAATGCTTTGTTTCATTATTTTATCCTCATTTACAAGTAGTAGGGTATTTTTAGCTACTGTATATTTGTGTCCGTTCGCATCCCGTCCCTTTGTGTCCCCTGGCAGCATAGTCGCAAACTGCAGTGACACCTAAAAACATGTTCTTAATGTCACCCACTGTATGTAACTCAGTTACTAACTCATTACTATCTGTAAGAAGTAGCTAGTAACTATAGCTAATTACTCTTTTAAAGGAACGTGCTCAACACTGCTTATTAGTTACTGAAGCATCGAGGGATGCATTTTAGTGAGCTCTGATTTCTAACCCCACACAGATAAACAAATATAAAATCTTATTAGACCACAGGGGCATATTCACTCAGTATCTCATTTATAGTCTTTTCTACCAACCTGCAGTGAACATTCAATGGTGCCATCGCAATGTAGCACAAGGTTACTTTCTAAAATCTTTAGTGACTGTCAGTACATGGTGTAATCACCTTCCCGAACTTCACCTAAACAGCAGAAGCCATTATATTCCTCAAAACAGCTGAAAGACACACCTTTTCCTGGACTACTTCACTTAATGGACATACATATGTCTGTTCCTCTGAAGTGCTTATTGATGCGTGTTATTATAGTAGTAGTCAGCCTTGAATTAATTGCATCTGAAAGTCAATGTTCCATAAAACAGATGCATTCATTTATGGCCAGAGTAATACATTTATATATTCGTAAATACTTTTTTATCTGAGGAGATGCACTTAATCTCAGTTGCCCCTCAAAATAGCATAAAACTGTTAAAACACTAGACAAGGTTGTGTGTGTATGTGTTTGTGTGTCTCTATGCATGTTTGCCTCTGGTGGGTTCATTAAAAGGACCTGCCTTGTTGCATCAGGGACAAAAAAAAGACAAGAGGCAAAAAGAAAATAAGAGTAAATGAAAGAAGGGCGGTCTTGATTGCATTTGGTTACTCCTAGTAATTGTCCTTCAGGTGCTGGAGTCACAGCTTTTGGACACTAATGCGTTTTGTCATGCCAAATACAGACGCAAAACGTTGCAATATTTGAAGAGGTATAAAAAAGTTTGATAGAAAAGGAGCTCAGAGACAGTGTGTTCTGTGTCTCTTTTCATCTTTGTAAAACTACAGATCATCGTGAGTGTTTTTTTTTTTCAACTTGGTCCTCATCCAGCTACACACAAATCCTCTAAAGATGACTCAAGCAAACCTACAGAGAAACAGACATACGTCAACACACAGTCACGCTGAGAGATTTAAAGAAGAACAGGTTATTAATTTGTGAAGTGAAAGGATGTACATAAACCTATTTCATATATATCTTTTTACTGACGTATATATATATATATATATAAATCACATGTGTTATAATATAATAATAATTTTCCTGCTATACTCAATGTTCTCATATATTTTTTTAAATATGCTCATGTTTTGCCCAATAACTAAAATAGCTTATGTTAAACTAATCACTAAAAAGGGCTTCATAATAATTGTTGAATTGAGAATTATAAGCCCCCCTTTTTAATTTTTTTTCTTTTTCAAATATTTACCAAATGATGTTTAACAGAGCAAGGACATTTTCAAAGTATGTCTGACAATATTTTTTTTCTGGAGAAAGTCTTATTTGTTTTATTTTGGCTAGAATAAAAGCAGTTTTTAATCTTTTTACAAACAAATTAAGGTTATAATTATTAGTCCCTTTAAGCTATATTTTTTGATAGTCTACAGAACAAACCATCGTTATAAAATAACTTGCCTAATTACCCTAACCTGCCCAGTTAACCTAATTAACCTAGTTAAGCCTTTAAATGTCACTTTAAGCTAGAAGTGTTTTGAA